TCACTATTTTTAGAGAGAGAGAGAGAGAGAGAGAGACTGTGATAATTAAATTGTGTGCAAAAAGGTGTGAATTGAAACAAACATGCAACATTACGCATGCATAGTAAAAAATGAATTAAATTAATGAATGTAAAAATATACAAAATAAAAATACTCTTACACATTTAGATGCATACAATACTGTATAATATTCACACACAAACACATACACACAGTCTATTGAATAGTATAATTGACTGCAAAATGCATAACAAAATGAGAAAAACAAAATTGAAAAATACATGTAAGAAATTGCAGGAAATTTTCATTAAAACAAAAACAGCAAAACAATAGACAAAACAAAACACGGATTTTTTAAAAACAGACACAAAAACATATAAATGTAAATATTTGTCACGACATTTACAAAATGAAAATAATTATAAATACTTATAATTAATAGCGAAATAATAATCAAATGATTTACAAAATTATATAAAACTTTTGTTTAGCGAGAGTTGTCTCTCAGACGAGACACAAGTCGTCGAAATAGTCTTCAATACAGATATACAGCGAAACCCATAGACAATGCATTACATGCCGAGTGAAAGTGCGGTTACAGTACAGTATGTATGTGTGCGGTAGGGGTCGGGTTGGGTAATATACATATGCATTATATCATTTCAGGCATTTATATTAATTATTAATTGAGTGATAAATCCATAGGCAAAGACACAGATCAGTTGGTCAGACAGATGGGTAGACAATAGACAGACAACACAAGTACAGCGCCGGGATGTTTGAGAAGACGCACAGTAATGGAAAGGTAGGCGAGAAAAACAGACAAAACAATAAATAAAAATACATAACAAAGTTATAAGTTATAAATTATAATAAAATAAAAACATTCATGAAATACAGGCAATGAAAACAAAGTGTTATAACTTTATTATAAAACACATTATCAAACTCCTAGTATATGTGATATATGTCGGGTGTGTTTAGAGTGAGAGCCCCGGGTAGGGGTCTAGTCGACAGGTCTGGCCATCGATCGATACATACCTTTACTATTATAACAATTATTAGAGTCGACATTGATTTCCACGATATCTTTGGGTACGTCGACAAACTGATAGACCAATCGCTGTCCGTCCACTTTAGCGAGAATACCCCGTTGATAATAGTACCTAGATCATTGAGAACAACATAATATTAGCTACTGATACTAATTCATTAATAGTGGCACCCAGTAGGGGGCCCACCGGGAGAAAAGTAACAAGATCACATACCTGAGTGCTCTACCCATAGTTTCGTAATTCATGTCCGGTTTGTTTTTATGTAAACCCCATAGACGTGAGACGGCCTTTGAATCAACCAATTTAAATATACCTAGATGCAAAAACAAATTGAAAATATTATTATTACCATAATGTTAATTTAATTAATATTCTCTATGCTATGTCGCACAGTAGGGTTAAAGGGTGGGGATAGAGGGGTAGGAATGTTTTTGCAATTCCCAAGTAGTGTGCACACATTACTTTATGTATATAAAAAACAACAAAAAAAAGTATAAAAAATATTATTATGGTATAAACATGTTTATTATGCGCGCACTGGTAGGCAACCAGAAAAGTCATGGTAAGTCATATTGGGCTGGGGATAGGGACTGGTAGTCATATATACATGTATATAACTACCAGACCCTCACTACCACTGTATGTATGAGTCGTGTCATTGGAAAGGGTTATTGGTTTTGGTAGGGGAAGGAAACCCAGAGGGAAAGGGAACGGGAAATTCCCGATCGGTTTTTTGTGTGTTGTTTTTCACTAACTCTCTATGAAGTTATTATGTATTTTCAATGTCAGGGAATTGAAATTGAAATGAAATGTGATTTTTTTCTTATTATTTTTGGTTGAATTGCAAAAGGGATTTATATTATCAGCAAAAACTTGTTTCTATACAAAATAAAGTCTCTCTCTCTCTCTCTCTCTCTCTCTCTCTCTCCTCTCTGGAGACAGAAAATAATTACTTGACACGACTGAACCCAATATTATGCTCTCTCTTATAAGGCTATCGTCAGCCGAGAGAGAGAGAGAGACTGGAAGAAAGTGATTGCGAAAAACGTTTGCATAATTAGCCAACAAAATAGTATTTCATGTATTTATTTATGACATAACATATCATTTTAATATATGAGAGCGTGAGGTGACTGTATTGAGTGGGGGCCGACTGTAATGAATTTCCACCAGGACAAATCGCACACTAATCACAAACATGTCACTAAAAATTACACCATGTCACAATTACGTTGGCGTATATATAGTATATGTGTGCACATTATCAAAAAGGGCATCGGGAATGATCATGATTAATTAAACAAAATATATGACATACCCTTTTCCCTATTTGTCCATTTAATAAAACGCGGACAATACTCCTTATCCTGGAGTAACTTCAATAAAAATTCCCACAAATACGTCGTCGAACCTATTAATTATAAACACCAAGGTTAATACCAAACACAAAAATACACTAGGTACGTGTAAATATGATGGAATTGAACAGGGTAAATTACCTTCGCGACTTTTCCTCTTGGTGGCTGTGGAACAATGGTTTGTGTTTCCATTGATATTCTCCAAGTTCTTGGGTTTGCGGCCCTTTTTGCGCTTAATTACGCCACCATTGGTCAGACCGTTGGTGTGATAGGACAGGTCCTCAGCGCCGCCACCCATGCCTATGCCGGCGGTCACCACTGGTATATCTAAAAGTTCTTGGGTTTGCGGCCCTTTTTGCGCTTAATTACGCCACCATTGGTCAGACCGTTGGTGTGATAGGACAGGTCCTCAGCGCCGCCACCCATGCCTATGCCGGCGGTCACCACTGGTATATCTACAGCACACACAATAAAAAACAACCATCATTAATAAGCAAACCAAATAAAACAAACACATGTCTGGACTATAACTAGGATACGACAGTTGGTCACTCTATGGCCGGGCGGGTCTGCGTGTATGTATACATACCTTTGTGATCGGGCGTTGAGTAATGAGCGCCGTTAGGCGTATAGTAGGTAGCGTTGCCACCGGTCATCGCCGACTCCAGCTTAATCGGTCGACCGGTGCTAATCTGGGGCGACTGTTGGCCACCACTACCGGCATTGCCGCCATTGGTTAACGTGGCGGACAAGTGTGGGTGAGATGTGTGCAAGTGTTGGGGCGGCTGTTGGCCGACACCACCAGTCGTTGTGCTCGGATTGGTTGGCGATTGACCGCCCGTTACGATCGATAGGGGTATGGTATGGGAGCCCCCGCTGCCGGGGCTAACCCCGGGTGTTGTGGTGGTTGTGGTGATGGCGCTAGCGTTGGGAGATTCAAGTGAATACAGACTGTGGTGATGGTTGGTATGGGACGACTGTTGTTGTTGTTGTTGTTGGTGATGGTGATACTGGTGCTGGTGTTGTTGTTGATGGTGGTGGTTTTGTTGTTGTTGGTGGTGGTGGTGCTGGTGGTGTAGGTCCTGGTGCTTACCAACCGGTGCGCCCGATGAACCATCTAGTTATATAGTAATGGGTATATTGTTTAGTAAATTTGCATTAGGTTTGTTGTTTATTATAAAGAATATTCAGTTTGTTTTTGTATATACAGAATATTCTGTTATTATTGTATGTATTAAATGCTATTATAAATACTAAATGCGATTATCATTATTTTATTTTGAAATCAACATGTTTGTTTGTTTGTTTGTCTGTTGTTGATAGTATATTTTCAGCTTGGTTAGAGTTAATTAAACTCTGGGTTATTTTTTGCCATCGGATTGCTATCAACAAATTTTTGATACAAAACACTTAAAAAATAATAAAATATTTGTTTTTTTATTTGAGTGCAAAACTATTTGCAAACCTAAAGAGTTTTGGTTTGGTTTATAAATAATATGTTTATTTTTGTATAATTGAAAACATAAGTTATAACTCTTTTAAACCCCGATGTGTTTTGCTTACGAAACACTTATTTAATATCATATGATATATACTGACGAGAGAGAGAGAGAGAGAGAGAGCACAGGCTTTCATTGCCGGAGTAAAACACAAATGACTGCTACTATAGTCTGTTTGACTATAAATCAATTTTCTCGAGACATGACTGAAATTTCATTTCAATTTACTTTTAGCTATTTTTTCGTTGCCTTT